GACGCCCTCGTTCTTGATAAACCCTTTCGCCTCTAAGAAGTAGGCGAGCAGTCCAAGACCCACAACAAGGCCAAGCAAAGCGAACAGCCCACCGATGATCGTTGCAGCCGCGTAGAAGAAGATTGTGGTCATGGCTCGCTGTTCTGGTCGAAGGATTCTAGGTTGCGTATTGGCTCGATAGCTGGGCGGCGGAGACGCTCTCGTCAGCGAAGCTCCCCGCCGTCCGGACCTTCTACTTCCGCCCCAACTCGTCTAGCCGGATCTTAAACTCTTGGTCGTCCGCGCGGTCGTGGCGGTCGAGGACGGGCGAGTAGGTCCTCACGGCCACGTCGCCATCCTGACTGAACTCCAGCAGCCGCAGGTCGCCCTGGCCGCCCTCCTTCTTGAACTGGTAGTTTGCCAGCATCTGGTGGACGACGTTCCCCTCAATGCCCTTGGTGCTACGGTAGCCCGTGCCGTCGTTGAGGACGTGGCCGTTGAACACCAGGCGGAAGTTCTTGTGCTTCGAGACGAGCTTGTCCCACAGCTCTTTCCCGTCGTTGACGGTCTCGCCGGGCTGCTTGGCGACGCCGTAGGCGTGGGGGTTCCACGACTGCTTGGCGCCCTTCGCCCGCCAATCGTAGATCGTGTCGTCCGAGTACATGTAAGCGTGTGTCACGAGGATCGCCGGCAGGTCGGCGTGCTCGGCGACGATCCTGTCAGCCCAGACGACGACTTCATCACGCGGCGCAAACTCTAAAGCAACAACGAGCCACTTCTGCCCGTTGGCATCGAACGTATGCCAAGTGTTATCCGTCTTCGTCTCTTCGTAACGCCCGCCGAGGCTCGGCTGGATCGCGTACGGCGACACGGGGCCGAAGTATTTGGATTCGTTGAAGAAGCTCACCCGATCGGCCGCGTTCCCGCCCGGGCCGTAGTCGTGGTTGCCCGGTGCGATCGCGTAGGGCAAGTGGCCGTCGAGCAGCGACATCGACTTCCGCGCGTTGTCCCACTGCTCGGGCGTGTTCTGATTGGTGACGTCCCCCTCGTGGAGCACGAAGCGGATGTTGTGCGAGTCGGCGTGCTCCACGAGCCAACGCGTCTGCGCGTCGTAGTGCTGCGGATACGCCTCGGCGTAGATCTGCGTATCGGGCAGAACCGCGAGCGTCCAAGACCCCTCGGCAATCGGATCGGCCTCGCCACGAGCAAACGTCGGCGCGAAGCCGATCAGCAGCAACAAAAGAGTTCTCGTCATCGCATCCAACCAAGTCGAGGAGCCAAGAGTTTCTGCCCTATACTGACCACTGGCGTAGGCCCATCGCAAGCGCCAAGAAAGGGTAGGGAACCACAAAGGGCACAAAGAGATTGCCAATGGGACAGGCGTAGCCCCGCCAAGTTGGCCGTCGTGTCCTTCGTGCCCTTCGTGGTTCAATCTTCCCTTTTTTAGGCGCCAGCAGGATTTCGCAAGCCGACGCTAGACAACCGCCGCATGGCGGTCTACAACGCTGGGCAGTGTGTTGGTGGTCGGTCTCGCCCCTTGCGAGGCCGACGTAACAGGGAACCCGGTGTGATTCCGGGACGGCCCCGCCGCTGTAACCAAGCACTAACTTCGCCGGACCCATTCTTCACGCCATTGTCCTGCTAGCGCCGCTTGCGGCCTAGCGAGATGAGAAGGCTGGTCCCGACGGGCTTGGGAGTCAGAAGACCTACCAACACGAGGCATGCGGAAGCTTCGAGGGGAAGCCGCCGCGTCGTTAGAGGTGTAGCTGCATCGGTCCGATACGTAGGCGTTTACCCGTGCGCGCAAGCGCCAGGGCTCGCGCTACGGACCGTCGCGGTATGGAATAGGTCACGTGGTACGCGAACGCGCCAAGTTGGAAGTAGACAGAGGGAAGTGGGAAGACGGCAGCTTGCCGTCATTCTCCGACTTCCGACTTCCGACTTTCCACTTCCGCCCCGCCTTCACCCTCGTCGAGCTCCTCGTCGTCATCGCCATCATCGGCGTGCTCGTCGCGCTGCTGTTGCCTGCTGTTCAAGCGTCGCGCGAAGCGGCCCGCCGCGCGGCGTGCATGAACAACCTTAAGCAGGTTGGCCTCGCGCTGTTGAGCTATCACGACACCAACAACGATTTCCCACTCGGCGGCCGGCTCGACGACAAACACCGCGCCGATGTTGGGCCGAGTTGGACGACCGAGGTTTTGCCCTGGTTCGAAGAAGCGTCGCTGCGCGATCAGCTCGACCTATCGCTGCTTTATACCGATCCCGCCAACCTCACCGCGGGCCGGACGCTATTGCCGGTGATGCTTTGCCCGAGCATGCCCGACGGCGATACGCCGCGCAAGTCGGTCGATCTATCGAGCACGTCTCCCCACGACTACGCGAAGACCGCCTACGGCGGCATCCAGGGCGAACGCGGCCTCCGCGCGACGAACGCCACCAATAACCCCGAGCGCGGCGTGTTGATTTATGAGAAGCCGATCTCGCTCGCGCAATTCACCGATGGCGCTTCGCACACCGCGATCGTTGGCGAAGTCCCCGAAGGGATTCACTCGATCTGGATCAGTGTCCGCAACGTCTTCGACCAGTCGGCGCCGATCAACGCCCGCGACTCCACAACCCGGCAGCTCGCCGACTTTGGCCAAGAGCTGAGCAGCTTTCACCCCGGCGGCGCGCTCGTCGTCTTCGCCGACGCGTCCGTCCATTTCTACCCCAACTCGACCGACAACCTGACGCTCGCCGCGATCTGTTCGCGCGACGACAACCTGGAGCGAAAATGAACCTACGTCATGCCCTGCTAAGTCTCTCGCTGCTCCTCGCTGGTAGCGTAGCCAGCGCTCACGCCGCGCAGAGCGTCGTCGATTTTGATGACCTCACGCTCGCTCCCGAATCGCGTTGGGTCGGCCCCGATCCTAATGGCGACACGGTCGATGGCGCCTTCGGGCCCGAGGTCCGCGGCGCGTTCGCCTCGCACGGCGCCGCCTTCGGCAATGTGTATGACCTTTCCTTCAGCACGTGGAGTGGCTTCGCCTACTCGAACGAGTCGGACAACACGACGCCCGGATTCGGCAACCAGCACAGCGCGATCACCGGCGATGGCCATGGCCCGGGCGCCGACAACTACGGCCTCGCCTTCGCCGCCAGCACGCTCGGCAGCGGCCCGATCGATGCGGCGGCGCTCGCGGGCCTGCCGACGATCACGCTCGCGTCCGGTCACAGCGTCGAGAGCGTCTGGATCACCAACACCACTTACGCGGCCCTGTCGATGCGCGACGGAGACTCGTTCGCCAAGAAGTTCGGCGGCGAGTCGGGCGCTGATGAGGATTGGTTCATGGTCACCGCCTATGGCGTCGACGCCGAGGGCGGGGTCCTCGACGCGTCGGTCGATTTCTATCTCGCCGACTTCCGCTCCGCCAACAGCGCCGAGGATTACCTCGTCACGGATTGGACGGAGTGGGACCTGTCGCCGCTGGCCGGCGCCGCGAGCCTGCACTTCGACTTCTCGTCGTCCGATGTCGGCGCCTTCGGCATCAACACGCCGACGTACTTCGCGATCGACGACCTGACGCTGAACACGATCCCCGAACCCGCGTCGATCCTGCTCGTCGCCATCGGCTGCGTCGCCATCGCCACCAGGAAGGCGTGATGGCTCCGTCCTCGCAGCAACCGCAGCCGGTCCACCCCCTCGCCGACCACTACGTCGAGCACGGCCGCTTCGTCTTCACCGCCGCATTCTTGCTGCGCCGCGGAACCTGCTGCGACAACGGCTGCCGCCACTGCCCCTACCAAGGAGAGCCGTCGGCGCTAGCCGCGGGTAGCCCCACCATCGACGCCACGACCATCGTTCCAACTCCAATTTCTTGAACCACAAAGGAACGAAGGAACAAAGGATTTATCTGCAATTCGTTTGTTCACAAGAGTCTTCCTTTGCTACTTTGTGGTTCCCTTTCCTGCTTTTCGCTGCGTGATCGACGCTGGCTACAATCGCCGCATGGAACTCGACCCGCGACGCACCGCTATCGAGCGTAACCGCCAGGCGTGGAACGACCTCGCCCGACAAGGCGTGCCGCTCGCTCGGCCGGCGACGGCGGCGGATTTCGCGGACCCGTTGCGGGCGGTTGACCCGGATGGGTGGCTGAGGCGTGGGCTTGGTGGTTCGGTCGTCGGCAAGCGGGTGCTGTGTCTTGCCGCGGGGGGTGGGCGGCAGGGGCCGTTGCATGCGGCGGCGGGGATGGAGGTGACGGTTGTTGATGTTAGCGAGGCGATGCTGGAGAAGGATCGTGCCGTCGCTGAGGCCCGCGGCTGCCGCCTGCGGCTGTGCCGGGCGTCGATGGATGATTTGTCGGAGCTTCTTGACGGCGAGTTCGACGCGGTCGTGCAACCCGTCAGCAGCTGTTACGCGCCCGACATCGCCGCCGTCTATCGCGAAGTCGCCCGCGTGCTACGTCCCGGCGGCGTTTACGTCTCGCAGCACAAGACGCCAACGAGTCTCCAAGCCGCTAGTCGGCTTAGCGGAAATGGCTCACTAGAACTCTGCACCCCCTACTACCACGAAGGCCCGCTGCCGCCGTCCGAACCCTGCCGCACGCGCGAGCCGGGCACGCTCGAGTTCCTGCACCGCTGGGAACAACTTATCGGCGGCCTCTGCCGCGCGGGCTTCGTCGTCGAAGACCTCGGCGAACCGTCCCACGCCGAAGAGCCCGGCGACCACGGTTCGCGGAGCCGCTACGTGGCGCCGTATGTGCGGATCCTTGCGCGACGGGTTGTAGCCGCAGATGGGCGCAGATGAGCGCGGATGGGGTTAGGCGGTAAGGTCGATGGATTCGATTTTCTGAGCCGTCACCGATTTCATAGGGCTTTGCTGTTGCTGGACGTTGTCACGCAACGAATGACGAAGTCCAAGTAGCCAAACCAATAGCGTCGTCGCAAAGGCTGTGACATAGATCGTACTTTCAACCAGGTAATACTGAGGGCCATGAAGCTCAAAGCGACTCGTGAAGTAGAAGATTGCAATCTTCACAAGTCGACTGACGACAATCCGAGATACTAAGAGCAAAAGGCTGCCTATAGCGACAATCACCACCGTTGTAGGAACGCTACGGTAGCGAGAAACAACAATCGCCGTTCCTGCTAACAAAATCGCGTCAACTAGCATTCCCACCCATGCCTCAGATTCGAGAAGAATCCTGAATACCAAAGCCCAGTCCACCGATCTCAACGCTGAAATACCCACAACAGTTATTGTCGTCCAAGCGAGCAGATTGCCGATGCCGAGCCTTACATTGGCCGTTTGCAGGCCAGGTTTCTTCCATACGCGTCTGGCGATGACGTAGACCACCGCGTCAACAGTGAGCGTGATTATTGCAAACCACGAAAAATCATCGCCGGGTATCGCGAAGAATCCTTCGCCGACCCCTATCGCCAACAACACTGCGATGACAAGTCTCTGCGGCATCAACCGTGAAGAATGGGCGGCCCACACTGCTGCGAGTCCGACCTGCGCTAGTAAAACGCCGTAGCCAGCATTCGCGATGAACGATCCGTCGTTAGATCGCATGGCCGGGCTAGTCATAAGCAACATGTCCACCGCCAGCGTCGCCGCCAGCAGGAACGGCAGCAGCGGCCGCCTTATTAGGCGGCGGCGCCACAGTCGGTGGTATTTTTCGGGGACGAGGCCGATCATACCCCCATGCTAACCGCCCCGGGCCGTGCCGGCGCGTTGCGGTCGGCGCGTCGGGGAGCGAGAATTGGGGGCTCGCGTCGTTAGATTCGGACCGCCCTCCCATGTCGGCACGACGCGACTCGCTACCGTCTCGTTGTTCCTGCCCACTGCCGACCGCCCACCGCCCCCTCCCCCCGTGTCCAACCTCCTCGAAAAGTGCTGCCTTATCGGCGAGTCGGTCGGCGGCG